CACACCCCTTTTTCCCACCCTAGAGAGCGTGTGAAACAAGTGACAACCTTCATGCGCACGTCTTCAAAAACAAAAACAAAACAAAAATCTATATTAATCAACGAGACAAGCAACTTTATCTACGATGCTCTTTGTTTGTTTAACTGGTAGACAAGCACCAACAGACGCCTTGATCAGTATGCCCTTTAATGCTGACATCCGCCTCTCGCTTCCACGAGGGGAAACACACATGAGGTGGAAACAGAGACTTGAGTCACATTCTCTATTGCATTCTTTGCAGTGAAACAGGTAAGATGGTCTGCAGTGAAACAGGTATGATGGTCTGCAGTGAAACAGGTAAGATGGTCTGCAGTGAAACAGGTAAGATGGTCTGCAGTGAAACAGGTAAGATGGTCTGCAGTGAACCAGGTAAGATGGTCTGCAGTGAACCAGGTAAGATGGTCTGCAGTGAAACAGGTAAGATGGTCTGCAGTGAAACAGGTAAGATGGTCTGCAGTGAACCAGGTAAGATGGTCTGCAGTGAAACAGGTATGATGGTCTGCAGTGAAACAGGAGACACAATGTTGCTTCAGTGTCAACTTTAACTCTTAATCTTCCTAAAAGCGCGTACGGGCGCGCATGTGCGTTTCTCTCTGTCTCTGACCACATACCTAGGTGTGTATGTATGTGTGTGTGTGTGTGTGTGTGTGTGTGTGTGTTTGTGTGTGTGTGTGTGTGTGTGTGTGTGTGTGTGTGTGTGTGTGTGTGTGTGTGTGTGTGTGTGTGTGTGTGTGTGTGTGTGTGTGTGTGTGTGTGTGTATGTGTGTGTATTGGAGGAAGGAACGAAACTCAACCCATTGAAGCATCGGGAATAGAACTCAGACTTGCTGTCCAATCTACACCAAATTTGTCACACTGTCTACAAATTGCTTTACAAACAAAATTCACTTAATTTTTTTGAAGAATTCTTAATGGAGACATTTTCGGATGTTTACTAAATTACTTGGATTAATAGAATATAAAAAAAAAATCTTGAACAAATTAGAAAAGTAAAAACAAAAGCTCTTTAATTATTAAGATGTTGTCAATTTGCTAATGACAAACTGTTTCTTCTTTATAAAATCTTAGAAAGCTTTCTTAGCAGTTATTTATAAAATTTCATATGAAAAATTTGCTCTCAAGAGCTTGGACGAGTTTTCAAGATCATAGATGAGCTCTCATGAGAATGGATAAGCTCTCATGAGAATGGATAAGCTCTCATGAGAATGGATAAGCTCTCATGAGAATGGATGAGCTCTCATGAGAATGGATAAGCTCTCATGAGAATGGATAAGCTCTCATGAGAATGGATGAGCTCTCATGAGAATGGATAAGCTCTCATGAGAATGGATGAGCTCAGATCATAGATGAACTCCAAAGAGCATGGATGAACTCTCAAGATCACTCATGAACTTTTAAAACCATGGACGAGCTCTTAAGAATATGAATGAGCACACCAGTTATATTTCAAGTTTCTTATGAGATAGTGAAGAAAAATATGAACATTGGCTGGGTTTTTCCATAGATATTAACAAGTAACACAAATATGTTAATTAATTACTTATTAATCCTCCATAGTGAATTTCTTGGGTGGGGGTAAGACTAGAAGTTTAAATTATTCAAGAAATCAAAATTATATATATATAATTGTTTTGCAATATGTATTAAGTAGCAGCCAATTATCTGTGCCATATAGCATTAGTTGAAGGAATTCTCCTTGGCAATTTGGCCTTTAAAAACCTATTTTATATATAAATATAATTGAGACCTAGGAATTTTTTTCCTGCTGGTACTAGATCAGTGCAATCTTTTTACATGTATATAATTTACATTATATGAAACGCTTGTGCTAATATTTTCACTATTTTGTGAGAATGTGATTCGTCATTTTGCATATCTGTATTACATGTTTTTTTGTGAGTGAGGTGTTACAGGGGGGTGTGAATAAGGTCTTGGGTGTGGGAAAGGTGACGTCTCGTCGACCCGTCGACCCGTCGACCAGTCTAATGAGGCAATCAGCGTCTCTCCCCCCCCCTCCATAAGGTCTAACAACACGCTCCATGTCAGCCAATGTCAATAACCCATCTCAGTAAAGCTGCTTCACTGAGTCGAACAGATCCTTCACACCTCCCCTTCCTTCCCCCTTTCCACCAACCCTCATTGCAATAACCCCCTCCCCTCCCTCCCTTTCCCATCTCTCCCACCTTCCCAATCTCCAACATACATACATATCCACCCTCCCTCAACCACTTCCCAATCTCGAATACCCTCCTCCAAATCCCACTTACAATATTATCTCCCTTTTTTTTTTTGAGGTCTTCCCACACGCCCCAAACACCTCCGCCTCGTTCACACTCCCCACAGATATTCTTCGCCAATTCCTCCCTCGGGAGAAAGCAGGTTCTCCTGAGACGAGCCGCGGGAACACAGTTTGAGCCACAGGTAACTGCTCCTCTTTAAACACCAGCGGCGAGATGCATATCAAACTGCTTCGACACCTCTCTACTTACGCTTGCAAATGCACTTCGTTTATCTCTTCTACTGCAGTGGATCAGGTTGTTGATATGTTCCTAATTATTTTTTTGGGGTATTAATATCGACATAGATATAAAGTGATTCGTATTTGGTTCTTGATGGTCTTGTCTAGGCTTAGATTCTTAGTGGTCAACTTTAAGGGGGTTAAAGTAGAGTAATCCATTACTGCAGTCTGAGATCGGGGGGTTCAGTCGCCTTAACTCCCACTTGAGTGCTAAATCTGCGTGTGTGTCTGTGTGTGTGTATTCACCTAGTTGTGCTTGCGGGGGTTGAGCTTTGCTCTTTTGGCCCGCCTCTCAACTGTCAATCGATTAACTCTTAATAACTACTATTTTTTTTGTATTAATATTTTGTTCACACACACACACACACACACACACACACACACACACACACACACACACACACACACACACACACACACACACACACACACACACACACGCACACACACACACACACACACACACACACACACACACACACACACACACACACACACACACACACACACACGAGGTTCCAATAGGCCTTTTCAAAAAGGGAGTTTTCTAGGTCCTGGAATTTTAAATTCACTTCACCGTGTTCTGGGAAGGATGCCAAAGATAATTCCAGGAATTAGTAACGTCCTTTCTGAAACGATGTGAAGAAAGCTTAATTCTATAGATCGGATTTCATGCTGAGCTACATAAACTAAATGGGGCGTAACAAGAGCATGGTAAGCCAATTATCAGGAGGGCGCGCCAAGCCATGACGACTATATAGCACTTGGAAGGGATCAGAATAAGGATTTGGGATGGGACAGGGAGGGAAGGAATGGTTCCCAACCACTTGGACGGTCTGGGGATTGAACGCCAACCTGCATGAAGCGAGATCGTCGCTCTACCGTCCACCCCAAGCGCTTGGGCACCATTCAGGGGGGTATGATAAAGGATATTATAGATCCTGCTAACACGTCCAAACATGGAATCACATGGAATATTTATTTACAGTTTATCTCAACTTTTTTAACATCAATTAAGTATATGAGTCCAAAGCAACATCCTTCACCGCCGGTAGAACGCAAGAAGTTGATAATGCGTTCGCGTAGGATACGGACACCCTCGGGCTGGCCAGTACAGACGACTGGCACCGTGGCTTACACAGTCGTATAGTGACGTACGAGAGACTGTGAGAGAGATGTCCTTTACGATCCCTAGTGATATCCAGTGGCACATCACAGCTGATCTTGGCATCAACCAGTGACTGGTGCCACTTAGTGGATAAATTTAACAATAGATCAACCCACCTTTCCTGACACTGTACTAGCGAGCACACAGTAATCGATGGTGGCCAACACATTCATTTATTTGTTGTGAGATTATTGTCTCGAAAATTTTGTCAACTGTGTGTACTCAACGACTATGCTATTGTGGATTGGAGCTATATCTACCTTCTACCATAGGGAGGACCAAGATCATTCTACCATTGGGGGGACCAAGATCATTCTACCATTGGGGGGACCAAGATCATTCTACCATAGGGAAGATCAAGATCATTCTACCATAGGGAGGATCAAGATCATTCTACCATTGGGGGGACCAAGATCATTCTACCATAGGGAAGATCAAGATCATTCTACCATAGGGAGGACCAAGATCATTCTACCATTGGGGGGACCAAGATCATTCTACCATAGAGATGACCAAGATCTCTCAACTGTATAACAGTCTTGGGCTGACCTTATCCAGCTCCACTGCTTTTCTCTTATCTGTTTCTGTTTCTCTCTGTCTTTCTGTTTTACTCTCTCTCTCTTTTTTTCAACTAAGACTAGGGCTCATTAGGGCTGTTGGATGAAGTACCTATATATATATAGTGACTCTGCAAGCAAGAGCTGTAATCCTACCTCAGATTAACTGAAACCTGCCCCTAGAGACCTTATTTATTTCAAGAGCTATTAGAAAAGAGAGTCTCTCTCTCTCTCTCTCCTTCTCTCTCTCTCTCTCTCTCCTCTCCTCTCTCTCTCTCTCTCCTCTCTCTCTCTCTCTCTCTCTCTCTCTCTTCTCTCTCTCTCTCTCTCTCTCTATCCTCTTCTCCTCCTCTCTCTCTCCTCCCCTCTCTCTCTGTCACTCTCTCTCTCTCCTCTCTCCTTTTCTCTCTCTTCTCTCTCTCGGTCTCTCTCTCTCTCTCTCTCTCTCTCTCTCTCTCTCTCTCTCTCTCTCTCTCTCTCTCTCTCTCTCTCTCGCTCTCTCTCTCTCCCTCTCTCCCTCTCTCAGCTCATAGCCAATCACGAGTCAGAGAAGCAGGACAAACTAGGGGAGAAGTCTCTCTCTCTCTCACATTTATGATTCTCACTATTTTCGTAAACAAACTCGAGTTCGACCTTTTTTTGGGTAATGTTCTTGGTTCACTGTTATCACACGAGGCTTATCTACGTCTATCGCTGCCTTGTCTCCCTTATCTCTTACCTTCCCCACGCTGATCCGTCTCTCCTCATTTGCCTCGTTACCAGACTTCCCTTCCATTACAGCCAGAGCTCCTTTCTCACACGTCCGGCACATACACACAGAGCATCTTTCCTGTTCCAGTTTAGCCATCTGTCTCACTCCCTCACCTGGAGTGTTATTGCTGTTCATTTGTTACAGCTTAACAAACCACTCAGCTGTTTCACAGGTGCTGTACTCGTGTGTGTGTGTGTGTGTGTGTGTGTGTGTGTGTGTGTGTGTGTGTGTGTGTGTGTGTGTGTGTGTGTGTGTGTGTGTGTGTGTGTGTGTGTGTGTGTCTGTCACAGGGACCATTATTTATGAAGCTCATATCAGCATAGTCCTTTAATGCTGTTACGCAGCATATTTAATCCTAAAAATGTTGTTCCTTCGTTATTAAGTGTTTTTATTTTATGTGTGTAATGTTACATGAATGAAGAGCTGGTTACATGTGTATATTGACACATAAACACACACATACACAATGCATGGGAAGTCATGCTGTGTCCACTCGAGACCTCTTGGTTTTACAACACAGTCGTGTGGAATACTCTGTAATATGTCCGATTGTAACGTTTCTCATTGGGCAAATTATTTTTTTATTGTAAGGGAGCACAGTACTGGGGCCAGGAGCTATATCCCACACACACACACACACACACACACACACACACACACAGCTTCCAGCTACTGAAAAAGAGAAAGACTTAGGAGTAGACAACAGCTCATCTAGATTTCATCCAGTGACTAAAATGCATCAACAGGTGCTCAATACCATCAGCTGAACAGCCTTCTCACAAACCATAATGGTGACCAAACTGCAACAAAGGATAAATAAATGGTGTCATATGCCGTGAAGATTATATATGTGTTCAAGAATATTACCAGCGATTCGCAGCAGTGATATTGGATTGAATTAGCTTACCTGCAAATGACTTCTTTATGTGAAATGGAACATTAGTCACATCCTCTCTTTCTCTCTCTTTCCTGAAATGACTTAAGTTATAAAGCCAATGAGTCAGATTCAGAGGCAAGAGCAAATAGCAAGTCCTCGAGTTTAGAAGAATTTTTTGGAGGAAAACTAGAGAAGCTAAATTGGAGATGTGAGTGAAATGTGGCAGATTTAGGAGCTAAGAAAATCCAGACGAGTGTGAAGCAGAGGCCGATGACATAGTGGCTTTCTTGAAAGATCATATTCAGAAAAAGAGAATCTAAATAATTAAATTGAACAAATAATAATAATAAGAAAGGTGATTGTTCAAGGCCTCAGCCCACAATGACAATCTAATCTGATTGTATTTGAACAAAAAGCTGCCACCAAGAGACTAAGGTAAACTTTCAACGGGTATACTGACCGCAGTACAGATAACAGAATCATTAAGCCTTCCTCAATTGTAATTGAGGAACCACAAAGAGTGACGATGAAATACAAAAGAAGTCTCACAGACGTATGAAGCTTTGAAAGGTTTTAACTTAGAAAACGACTCGAATAAAGTAGCAATGCAGACAACAGAGCAATAGAGCAGCCCAAGAACAGAGGCTGGAGGGAGAACAGGCGCCTGTGAGGAGAGGAAACAGAGCGACAATGGGTAAGGAACCATTATATCAGCGGCCGGAAAGCGAGACGAAGACTTAGTACTTAAAACTTAGTAAAAGACTTAGCACACGACCAGAACACAGATGGTTATGTTCATTACACAGAACTGACAAAGATCAGCAAACCTTCACTTTCAGATCCTTTCTCTACCGATCAATTTCCTTTCCCTTCCGTTCCATAAACGACGTGCTTCATCAACAACTATACCACACCTATATACCCAACCATCCAATATCCTTTCCATCACAAAGTCCTCCTTTCTTTCCCTTCCTTCATTCTTTCAACTACCTTCCTCTTCCGTACATAAATTCCTTTCCCTCCTTCTCACCCTCTCTTCCGTCTCACACTGAGTCTTCTTTTCCGGAACTAAATAAGTATCTTATCTTAAGGCTGAAAGCTAATCAATGGATGACAGAAAAATAGTTCAGTCTTAATGAGTAATTAAACATATTAAATCTCACTTCATCAACACCAACTCATCAACACCAACTCATCAACACCAACTCATCAACACCAACTCATCAACACCAACTCATCAACACCAACTCATCAACACCAACTCATCAACACCAACTCATCAACACCAACTCATCAACACCAACTCATCAACACCAACTCATCAACACCAACTCATCAACACCAACTCATCAACACCAACTCATCAACACCAACTCATCAACACCAACTCATCAACACCAACTCATCAACACCAACTCATCAACACCAACTCATCAACACCAACTCATCAACACCAACTCATCAACACAACTCATCAACACCAACTCATCAACACCAACTCATCAACACCAACTCATCAACACCAACTCATCAACACCAACTCATCAACACCAACTCATCAACACCAACTCATCAACACCAACTCATCAACACCAACTCATCAACACCAACTCATCAACACCAACTCATCAACACCAACTCATCAACACCAACTCATCAACACCAACTCAACACCAACTCATCAACACCAACTCATCAACACCAACTCATCAACACCAACTCATCAACACCAACTCATCAACACCAACTCATCAACACCAACTCATCAACACCAACTCATCAACACCAACTCATCAACACCAACTCATCAACACCCAGGCAACACACTACAGTACACAGACACTGAGAGTCATTTGATAAACCTATAAATGTATTCATTATTATAAAAAAAAACATATAATGATGCGGATCATTAAAATTTTATGTACAATGTCATATCACCCCCCTTCCACACCCCCTCTCTCTCTCTCTCACACGTCGCCCCCCCCCCACACACTGCTATGTCAACCCCCAACCCCCCCATTCTTCCCACAACCTTCCCCCCCCTCTCACCTCTCGCATCCTCTCCCAGTGCAAGACAACCTCAGCGACGCTCCAAACTCTTTAGTTTGAAAACTTTGTGGAGAAGTTCTTATCTCGTGTTTGGTTCCGTTTTCCTTCAAGGTGCGAAGCGCCCTTCAACATACAATTTTTTCTTGAGTTTCCCCTCATGTTGTGACGATTCGATAAATATTTTAAACGCTAAGGTCATAATTCATCAATTTTGATCTTGTATTTGTGTGAATGTTTTTGCAAAGTTAGGTAACAAAAGAAGGACGTCTCTGTCAGTTTGGCCTGGCTTGTTAGGGGCAAACTGGACGGTCCTGCCTGTAAAATTTTGCATACATATGTATATGTATTGGTGTGAGAGCGGCTGTGTGTGTGTGTGTGTGTGTGTGTGTGTGTGTGTGTGTGTGTGTGTGTGTGTGTGTGTGTGTGTGTGTGTGTGTGTGTGTGTGAGGGTGGTAAATATATAGTGAATGGATTTTTACCGAATACCACCCCCAAGGCCTACGGGCTCACCATAGCCCGTGCTACTTAGAACTTTATGTTCCAGGTAGCGAATATATAACAACAACAACATACTGAATACCACTCGAACGGATTTTAGTGTTCTTTCTAGTGTGTTTTGAGTGGTAGAATAGAGGACGCTCTAGAATGGTGCAGTGGATGGGGACTAGAGGCCTCTCTTCTCTATTTGGACTCTAGCGAACTCTAACTAACTCATCTCACTGTTCAATTATCATTTGCATATAATATACATTGCCTCTAATTGCGATTGGAAATATTTTCAGCTAGGATGTGCGTGATTAATGAAATAAATTATCATCTAATTGGACCCCCAAGTCGTTGAGCAACAAATTGATGTTCTGCTTGATAGATGGAGTATTATGGTACGTTCAGGGAGGAGGAGTGGGGGGGGGGGGAGATGGATTCATCAGTGTTATTGACCCCTTTTGTATTTAATCCTCCTTTACCAAGTTAAGTAATAACAGTCATTACTAGATAGGCTCCGTGAGACACAGTCAACAAGTACAGTTACAGCTAAAATATTCTCATTTAATATTGATGTTATGATTTTTGGAAAGTTCTACTTTTAAAAAAGTTCTACTAACTCTTTACTTTTGATTTGTCACACATTCAGAATATCTCTTTCTCTGTCTCTGTTTCTCTCTCTCTCTTTGTTTGATCTCTCATGCCGAAGCCAATCAAAGTTTTGCAACTACCTTTTTTCAGCATAAGAGTTGGTGGTATCTAGTGTATTGTCCCTACGAATGTACTTCACCTTGCTAAATGGATGATGAGTTGCCCACCGTGAGAGTTAAGCCTGAATGTGCCACTCTTGCCTTGGGTTGTAGGAACCCTTAAGGTGGCAGACAATATCAATTAATATTATGCTTCTAATCCTTTATACAGTCCGTTAACACCGGATTTAGAAATGTATATTTGACTTTCTCTCGTCAAGACAAACACGATTTGTTTGCGGAGGGCTTTAATGTAGGTACCAGTTGCATGTTTGCAAGCAAATTGTGAGCACAAACTCTATTTGTGTCTAACACTGCCTTAAGACACAAATTAGACTTATGTCTTAAGTCTAAGACTGGCAAGAAATCTAGAATCTTCTCGTCAAGTTCCAGAGCTCACTCTGAGGCAATGATGTCAAACAGGCAAACATAGCTGAGGGTCTCAGCAGTACAGTGGCTACGTTCTCCACTTACCGTCGTCACACCATCAAAATATTCAATACTCCGCGTCACACCATCAAAATATTCAACACACTGCGTCACACCATTCTGGTGAGTGACACTGCAGCAGGATTTTCCCCAGACACATGTTTGACTCTAAATGTTTTTTTTCCCAGCCTTCCTCTTGCATCGCTGCTGCCCTTTGACGCGTTCTTTTGTAAGGTCATGCGGCAGTGTACATTAAACGTTCTCCCTAAGTGTTTTCTTTTGAAGATCTCTCGTGCATTACAGTAATCTTTGTCATTGTTTGCAAGCATTAATGATTTTAGAAATATTTTTCGTTAAAAAAACAAAATTATATATATATATATATATATATATATATATATATATATATATATGTATGTATATATATATATATATATATATATATATATATATATATATATATATATATATATATATATATATATATCTTACAAGAAATGGTGTTA